CAGCTCCTAAATCAGACCTGTGTTAAGTAGTCAGCATTTGCCCTCTCCTTATGAAATATGTATTTCATATGCAAAACCCCAAGTATGTTTAGAAATCTGTAAGCAGCAAGATGCAAGCTTTCCTCATAGGCTGAAGATACATTGTCCTAAAAAAGCACAACCGAGGATTTTGTTTTACCTGTGACCATTCATCCGGCCCAAACAGAGCTTCGCTTAGACTGATAACAGGGCTGAATATCTCCCCCATGCTGGGCTAAATAATAAGGTAAGTTCCAGAGCTCAGTACTGCAGGAGACTGAAAGGGCCTTGGGGTAGGAATTAGTGAACTGAGTCTAACAATGTCCCTCTGGGGCAAGCAGATTTTCTTAAGCCCCTTTAATAGAAAACAAAACATATGCAGAGAGATACAATGATTTGTTCAAAATCACACTGAATTAAGCAAAGTTGAAAATGGAAGCCAGGTTTTTCCCAGCCTTGAGCCTCTTCCTCGAGCCATTCTTCTGCTTTTCCAGAACAAAGCAAATTAAATGGGGAGACTGCTATATAGCAGAGAAAAGTAGCTGGGATTTGCCACCATTAAATCAGTGAGATATCATCTGCTTAATATATGAGGAAACATAAGGAGGGAAACCTCAAGTAACTGCTCAATAGTCATTCTCTGCAGTTAAACAGTCCAGGGAAAATCTTCTGATCATGCTCAATAAAAGTATTCATGGACACATTGCAGATGCAGTAAATAATATTATTAGGCCCTCTACAACTATAAATAGGTCAGAGATGCCAGATGCTTTTCTCCCTTCTTAACAAAATCAAGAAGGCTAGCAAAAAGCTGAATTCAGAGACACATCCCAAAAATAACAGCAGGCGTTTCAAGTATGTGGATAGCTCCTATAGCTAGAGACACAGCCACGCACAGCACAGCATTACAGAATTAAAGCTGTTACCTGCACACATTTGCGTGCATGGCCAGCATTAATGACACAGGCCATCTAGGAAGGATTAAGGATTACTTATCATTTCAACCCAATGAAAGAAGATCTACATTTCTCTTTCAGACACGTAATTCACAGGAGAATTGTGCTTGCCAACACTCTGAAAAAATAATCTTTCAGAATTCTTGCAAACCCGCTGTGTTATGATTTCATCTCATGAAATACAACACCTTTACATTAAACCTCATAAAACTAAATCCTGCTGGATCTCTTCCAGGCTCAGAGAATAAACAGCTATATCAGTAATGCCTAGAACAGTAAAATCCGGCCCACTGTCGCATGGCACGTTCCCATTTACAGAGGGAAGCAGGTCTGCAAACAGCTAATTCACTTTGCTATTACAAAATCCTCACATATAATGAATTTCTCACCTAACTGGTCTAAGAAATACTTCAAGGGGGAAAAAGAATGCTTTGAACACCATAATGCATATTTATGTCTACTAGCCTTTTACCCAGTCCCTGCCTTCTCCCTAATGAAATATGTACTGCAGACCAGCTCTGGTTTCTAGCGAGAAGTGAGCTCAGTTGTGTCTGGAACTCTGGGAGATAGCAAGGGGGATGAAATCTGTTGTCAAAACAGTTCAAAGCACAGATGAGTATGTCCAATGAGATTACTTTTTAAAGCCTGATTATTTTGGCTTTGCAGTCTGAAGAGCTAAACCTTTCGGTTTTGCCAGTCCCACTCAGAGCATGAGTAAGGATATTAAAATAACCTGCACAAGTGCACTGGGAGACACAGACCTAGTGCAAAAGCCATCCAGGGGAACTTGCAACCAAATACCGGCCAAATGTTCTCCATACATAGCATATGGCCGAAGAACAAAAGCAATTTTCTATTTCAATTAGGCTCTTCCCTGCTCTTCACAGAGAAGAACGGTTCAATCCCTAAATCTGGGCAGCCTAAACGTGGGAACAGCAATCACAGATATGCACATCTTGCACATTCCTGGAGCCTCTCAGATCACTTTGGAGGCTAATTACACCTCAGGTGAACCACAATGAGATAATCTTCAGGGCTGAAGATCACTCTGCACAACACACGAGCCAAGGCTAACATCACTCAATATCATGCCTCACCCTAAGATTTCCTTCCTCACTTTTTCCATTTGTGTCGGAGCACACCAAATTTTAATAGCCAAGACTGGAAGATGATATTTCTATAGTAAAAGAAAAAAAAAAAAAAGGCAAAAAAAAGTTGGGTAGGAGGGAAGGCAGACTGCCTTGAACCTTCCTGCCTGTGCTGGGGCCTGGGTTAATGGTGCTGTAAAATGCCCGTGGCTAGTGACACAAAGCAGAGGGAGGAATCCCAGGGCTGAGGCCCCCAGCGGGTGAGAGCTGCAATGGAGCGGACAAAGGTTTCCTGGGAACTGTCAGTGGGCTCTTTGTGAAGGAGGCAGAAGAGAAACGTCCCTATTAAGATGGGCAATGGGATGATGTAACAGCAGGGTGAGGTCGCTGACCCCAGTGCTGGGAATAATTGGAACGGGATGTGTGCTTGGAGCGCGGCTAATGGCACCCGGAGCCGCGCGCTGAGCAGAGCCCTGCGTGACGCTGTCACCACCTCTCCCCAGGGCAGAGAAGGTGGCTGCCCCAAGGACGGCTGCGCTTGGATTTGGGGCCGTCCCAGCCGGCACAGCGACTTTTGTCACTTTGGGGTGCACGACAGAAAGGATCAGCAGCTGTTCATATGCATGGCAACATAAGATGCCTGAGCTCGACCTAGCTGATGACCCAAGACCAGAATGAGCTGCTTTTGTTAGCTGCACTCCCTGGGTGCCTGTGCAATGCAGCACCAGCTGAAATCTAAAGGCCCACAGAGACATGTTGCACTTGAGGAAAGAAAGGGGGAAAAAAGACACAGGTGACAGAAATCCGAGTGAAAGAGAACCTATTATCTGATCTAACATTATCATTCTTAAGGTTTTAATTTGAAATTGCAAGGATCATTCTGGGCTGAACCACAATGGAGACTTGTTTCAGCTTGGTTCATCTTTTTCCACCAGGCACAATTTCAAGTTCCAAACGTGTAACTCTTAAGCAGCTAAGGATACAAGTGTGTAAACCAAGGTATCTGTATTTTCCATGTTACAGAATTTCACTAAACAATGTAATCTCTCTCTCTTCTCACAGGCCTAAGTATTTATCTTGAATCTAAAACATCCTCTGCGGCAACCTTACTTACAGCAACTACACAAACTTTTGTTTGCTCTGAAGCCTTACAGAGAGGAAATCTTAAACAAATAAACCAGAGAATTATGCTCTCACCTTTTCCATCCCAAACACAAATCTAAGTTTTCCCTAGCAGTAGTCAATCAAACCAGCTAAATATTGACTGGGAACATGGGTTGCAAGACACAGCTTCCTTCAAAACGACACAGTTTCAACCAGACAACCAAGCACCAACATGGACGCCAAGGTCAGATCCCTTGGCTAGGTTAATCTTACAGCCAAGTTTCAGCCCGCAGCACTTTCATATCACATAAAAACACACGTATCTGAATAAGAGTCTGCAATAAACCTAGCAAGCAAGATTTTTGCTCAGCAAAGCTGCTGCTCTAGCACACTGCAATTTCTTTAGAAGGAAATTAAGATAATGAGGTAAGAGAAAAACACACCACTTGTGTATCATATTTGTTTATGACAAGCAATTGAGAAACACACAGATCAAAGGAAACTTGTACGAGCAACTCAGCATTTGAAAATGAGCTAGCATCCCTCATCCCTTCTTCCTAAATTACCTGCACGCATCTGCATGTATCAAGAAATAAAAAGTACAGATGGGGAAGAAGAGTGTTCAAAATGCATGTCAGATGGGTTTCTCTACAAGCTTATTCAAGTTTACTTTTCTGTATGAAGTCCAGAAAGTTAAAACTGAATTTCAAACTTGCAAGGAGGCAAATAGTATAAGAAAGAAGAAATTGGAGACAATGACTAAAAGTTTGAATATATTCCTTGTTGATGAGTGCTCACTAAGTGACCGTTGCTGCTTTTTTTTTTTATAATTCCTGAAGTTCTTGAACGGTACTCATGTAAACACCATCATCAGCTATTTCACTCAAACTGGTCTTACATCAGGTTCTTCAGAATGGGCCTCAAACATCTGGAATTTTATAAAAACAAATATATGGAAATACCAATTTTACAGTCTCCAAATGCATTTTAATTACTGATGTATGTGCCTAATGGCTCGGTGATTTAAATCACTTTGTAATTTAACTACAATCTAACACAGGCTCATTTGCTGATTTGATTATGGCGTCAAATTGATCTGATTGTCCCACTGCTTTATTTTAAATCAGGTTTAATAATATTTTTTAAACAGCATAGCTTTAGGCAACAGCTTCTCTGGATTTTACTCGTGTAAGAATGTTTTGTTACAAGTTGTTCTTCAGGAGTTATTTCTCTCAACAACTAACACATGCCCAATCCTCGAGGCCATTAGACTATTCAGCTGTAAACGTGATCGTCTCCCTGACAGTAGGAATTGGTTCTTAAGATGGGTTTCTGTATCTGCCCCATTCCCACACTCATTTATAGATGTTTTCTCTGTTAAGCACCACAGAGGCAAAGAAGCAGCTTCTTCCCCACAAGCCTGTAGCACGACAAGATCCCCAGCCCTCAGATCAACACCAGAGCCCATCACGTGTCCACGGTGCAGACAAAGTCACCTGACAGGAATCAGCAAAAGCCACCTGTTGTCTGAAACACCTTGCTGAGCTCAAACATGGGGCTGGAGCTAAGAAACCCACACACTAGCACCCATAGGTGCTCCCAAGCAGTGGCAAGTCACTGATCAGGGGAATGCTACAGAGACCTACCTAAGACATAGGTGGCCAAAGCCTGCCCAATTCCTGATTTAAAGAGTGAAATTTGAAGCTAGACCCCTCATGGCTGGCAACAAGTACCAAAGTCTTACTGCAGACGATAAAGGTAGCATTCCTGCCCAATGCTGCCATGGGAAAGCAGCTACTTTCCTTTCTTCCCTCCTGTAGCATGAACGCCCTACCTGGAGCACAGGTCCCCTGCCATAAGCACTGTCTTTGCTCCAGCAGCAGGGCCCTGCTCGCCACTGAAGGCACTTGCTATTACCAGACTGCAGGAGGACAAGGAGGGGAGAGCAGAAAATACTGTGAAGAGAAAAGAAAAGATATATTACATTATAGCTTTTTAAAATAAAATACAGTAGGAACACCAGGTACCGTGCCATTGGAGCCATGTAGGCTGTGGTCTCTGCTATCTCTAATTGTCATCCAGCACATAGATGAGATAGATAATAACAGGAGCAGTAATCACAAACAGACATTCTGCGTGAGCAAAAAATGCTTACCACGACAAAAACTGTAGCCAGATATAGATGTATGTCAGATAAATTTGAAGGATCTTAACTTGCTAAAGCACTAGCACGCATATAGATCTAAATTTATATACAAATATATGTGTATGTGTGTATAGCACAGAATCCAAGTACCTACTTTTACCATTTAATGTGAGATGAGGAAAATAGAAAGCAACATTAAGAACACAAGGTGTGGAATAATATTTTATAATGTTCGTGTGGAAAACATTCAGAACTGGCAAAACTTGCCTGAGGATTTTAAGATACTAACTGCAAGGTGAACCATTGTGCTAAAATACAGATAGAAAAACTAGGAAATTTGCTGCGACTTGGGTTTGTTTTCAATTTGAAAGTAATCAGCCCCAGTCTGATCTGCACCCTTTGCAACATCAAACACAGATTACATACGGGCTAGTTCCAGTCCTCAGCTCAGTGCTTCTGGAGAACAGAACAGCCCAAGAACAGCGGGTAGAAACAGTGCATGCTCCACGTCGATACCTGGTGTCACTGGACAAAGAAATAACTACACAGCATGCACAATCACCACCACGAGGTTCTTCTTTCATACTGCCAGACAATCATTTCCCCTCAGGCACATAGCAACCTGCACTGCTTAGCACATCCTGGGCGCCCCAAGTGAGCTGCTTACTACACCATGCATGGCTGCTGCCTCCTCACTGAGAACTGTAAATGAAGAAAAGAAAGGCTAGGTGATTTCTTTAGGTTTCCTTTCAGGACAGGGAGGGGGAAGAAAAAAGATGAACTTACAGCACATGCAGTTTTTGACAACAGAGCTTTGAAACATTGCGGTAAGAGAAAATAAGACTGCTGCCCAATCCCAGATCTGGACAATGTTGAGTTCCACCTTATCAGCCCCTGAAACAGTCAGGAGTGATCTGCTGCTGAGCTGCCTCACGTCAAAACATGCGCAATAGTATTTCCCACCCCTCCCCAACAAATGCAACAGTGAAACTCAAGTAATAATAATCTTCAGATACTTTGACACTAGACATTTTTTAAGGAAAGCAAACATTTTCATCATATTTTTCTTCCACCATGGAAAGAAAACCAGCTTTCTTCCTCACCACTGCCATTTCACAGGTTGACAAGAATGAGCTAAAAAGCCACAGTTTTTCCACTCTGCTCTACAATATTACTAACCAAAGGGTAATTGCCTAAGAACCAAGTTTATGCTTACTGAGTCCCCAGGGCCAGGATCTCTCCAGCCTGCTTGGTCTGGCTACCCCAGATGCAAGCTGCAGCAGCTCACGGTACCCTGCAGCCACAGCTTATCCCATGATTTTGCAGCCAAAAAGCACGATACTGACTGTGCATCAGCAGTAAAGGAGCAGGGTTCAACCTAAGGAAAGCATCAGGCTTTTACTTCAAACTCATCACACCAGCAAAGCATGTCAGCAGGCCGTGGAGGACTGCAGAGTGGTCCTCACATGCACTGTATAGCCAGGTAAAGGATCTAAAAGTAAGTGATCTCAGGGAAGCAGATTTAGAAGAATATACAAAGAAGAGAATGACCAACAGTATTTCATGCTGCCTGCATTGGAGCAGGTCTTGTCCATTTTTTACTACACCAGCATCAGTGCATTTTCCCCAGCCACTTCTCAACTACCAGGACAGGCCGGAAAGAGGTACAGAAGATCTGAGCTCACACTAAGGCTTGAGACAGAGAAAGTGGCACCATGACTTTGATATCGATGACACAGACCACACGTGCTGTTTAGACAGCAGAGATCGCTCTCAAGAACAAAGGAGTCAATTCATTTTCCCCACAGTTAATTCATTTTCATTAGTATCCATCAGACTATTCCTTCACAGTTTGTTTTCTAGGATGGGGACCCCAGGCTATCCACTCACGGCCTCCATGAGTCTTGTTTTGCTCCTGAAGAGGAAGGCAAACATAGGGGAAGACAGCAGCCATCTCACCGGGGATCACTCGAGCCTCCTGTGTAATTTTGAGCCCCCAAACAGCATTTGGCTTTGCAGACCCAGGGAGCCCTACCCCAGTTGCATGGACAAGAACAGAGCTCAGCCTCCTACTTCAGCACTTTCCTTGCAAGAGGGCAAAGCGAGGGTAACAGGGATTGCCTGGTTCTGGCAAGCTTGGGCTGGTCGTGTTTACATGATCTCAGGTCATTTCAAATTTATAGTAAATGAGTTTGCCGAAGTTGATTAGAAGTGGAAATAGGGAGTTCTCATAAAACCTCATCTGAAATCAAAGCTTAACCCAAGAAAAAATGCAGGAAAGAAAGGTGTGCAAGGAAACAAACAAGCAAGCAAACACTTAAGTGGAAAAAACTGAGCAGATTTCTGTCAGAAATGTCTTATCCTCCGGTGTAGAAAGCAATTATTATCTGTAGTCTAAACAGTCTCTTCAGATCTTGGGTGCTTGCTTGCAGTCTGCACAGCTAGCTGGATCTGTAGACAGTAGCATAGGCAGCTGGCAAGTTGCCTTCTGACCACACTGACTTCCACCTGAAGGGCTGTCAGTGGCACACAAAAAAACGTCAGGAAATAAAAAAAAGGAGAGAGATTAAAAATTACCAAAAAAAGGTCATTTTAATAAATATCCCTGTCATTCATTTAGAGTAAGAGTAAACACGCTAGTAGATCCTCTTTCCTGAAGAGGACTTTGGGGACCAAGGCTTGTGGGACCACCTTCAGGAGGTGACATCTCCTGCAAGCAGCAACGGCGACAACCTCTGGCATTCCTCAGGACTTGGCAAAACAGGCTTAAAATGGACACCAGAAGTCCATTTGGTGGGGCTCAGTGCCATGGAAGATGACTGAGGCTGAGATCTGTTGCTTAAAGAAATGAATTGAACACAGATAGACGGCAAGAATATGTGGAGCTGTAGGAAATTGACTGCTTTTAAGCACTTTCACAAAGGGTGCTGGACATCCATGGTATTTGTTTTCAGTGTTTGAGAGGCTGGTCTACAGGGAAGTCACACCCATGAGCATGCCCTATAGGAAAGATCCTCCAAACCCTCCCTGAAATGACTGGCACTGGCTTCAAACAGGTACCAGCTGCTAGCCCACGGCAGCAATGCAGCCACTAGGCAAGCATGGCTGCCCCTTGCCCTCTCGGTGGATGCTGCACGTCTCCTCCCTTTCTTATGCCACAGACAGTGACCAAAACTGGATGTATAGGGACTCTGCAATTTACAGAAGTTATAAGGGTTTTATGGGAAGGGCTGGTTTCCCATAAAACATCTCTATAAGAAGATATATTCAGTAGCTGATTAATGAATGTGGTTTACCACAAAATGATACTACACAGGCCTACTCTCTTCAATAATAATCCCATAAATAATATTATTAAAAATGCCAGAAATATCCAAGCAATAGAGCTGCTCTGGGATCTCAGTGCTTTGTCTGCTGCTTCTCTCTTTGTGACAAATCAGCACAAACATAATTCTTTGAGGGAGCTTCTAGGTGAAGACAGAAGGGAAAGGGATGTGCCTGCATAGCATGGGGCCAGTCTCATGCGGAAGAATGTGCCAAGAAATGGAATGTCAAAAACCCTTGGACACTCAGAGCTGAGGAAAAATCCCTGATCTAGAGAGGACTGTCGGTCCAGAAGCTTCACATCCAGCGTTTGCCTACCTCTGTCTTCAGCACCTCGCAGGAGTAGGCTGGGCAGGAGGGTTTGGTGCAGGTTTGGAGCTTCTCCATAGGGGTCCATCCTCAGACCCTCAAACACAGCTGCGGGACAGCCCCGTCGGCAGGGAGGTGCCTCCATCAGGGGTAAGGAGCACGCTTGTGGTTCACATTTTCTTCCCCCCCCCCCCCCCCCCCCCCCCTTGCCCTTCGCTGCCCTGGATGCTACAAGTGGGGGTACTCTGCACTCTCCCACAGTGAGGTGGCTTACACCTCCTGCTCCCACGTCCAAGACTGGGGAAGTGAGCCGGCAACATCACTTCACCGTCGGCGGTGAACGGACCAAGCGTGGACACGGGGGGACGAGGAGAGAGGAGCGTCCAGCCGCTCCGCAGCGGCTCGGGGAGCTGCACAGCTCATCGCGGAGCAGCCGCGACCCCGAAGCGGCCCCGCAGCCCCTGCTCGGACAAGGGGCTCCGGGGGTTTTTGTTCGCGGGGATGTTTCCGCCCCTTCCCCACGCACACACTTTTAAGGATTTCCTGCCAAAAGACAATCCCCCCGAGCCGAAGCAGAGCAAGAAAGTAGTGACCAATCCTTTCCGGATGGCTGTCACCAAGCTCCTCCCAGCCCCCCGCTCCCCCTGCCATTTGCATACAAAACATCCAGAGAACTCCCGTTGGCCCCCGCACCTCTCAGAGCCTCCGTCCGTCAGGCAGCAGAGCAGCCTGAGCTGGGGCCGCTCGGCACTCCGCTCAGCCCACCGCCCCGCCATGCCGCGCCGCCTCTGCGCCCTGCTCCTGCTGGCCTCCCAGTGCCTGGCTTCGGCCGCCGGGCTCTTCCCCTTCGGGGAGCCCGACTTCTCCTACAAGCGCTCCAACTGCAAACCCATCCCCGCCCCGATGCTCCTGTGCCGAGGCATCGAGTACCAGAGCATGCGGCTGCCCAACCTGCTGGGGCACGAGACGGTGCAGGAGGTACTGGAGCAGGCCTCCACCTGGATCCCGCTGGTGCAGAAGCAGTGTCACCCCGACACCAGGAAATTCCTCTGCTCCCTCTTTGCCCCCGTCTGCATCGATGACCTGGACGAGATCATCCAGCCCTGCCACTCGCTCTGTGAGGAGGTGAAGGAGAGCTGCGCGCCAGTGATGTCTGCTTTTGGCTTCCCCTGGCCCGACATGCTGGACTGCAGCCGCTTCCCCAAGGACAATGACCTCTGCATCCCGCTGGCCAGCAGTGACCACATTCTCCCAGTCACCAGGGAAGGTAAGAGCTGGCTGCCCCAATGCTGGGTCCGCTGCTCGGTCAGGCTCGAGGAGGTTCCCTCCATGGCACCCCAGCCCTGGGAACCGCTGCCTTTCCCCACAGCTCTGAAACGAAGTTCTGGGCTCGGCTCTGCAGAGCTGCTCACGTCCCCTCAGGTGTGCCAGGTGGTGAGGCTGGCAGCAGTCACCTCCTCGTGGAGAATATCTGTGACCCCCAGCTGGAGCTACATGGTTCCCTGAGACAGTAATGGGGGCATCCCCCTCTTGCAGCAATCATTGCTGAAGCATGGGGTTGGGGAGCTCCCCCCACCCGCTTTTGCTCTTTTTGCAATAGGGGAAAAAAAAAGTAAGAAAGAAAAATGTTGGTTTAGCGTGACCCTAAGAGCACCTTCTGTGCTCTCCTCCAGTGGCTTGTGACCAAAGTGAGGGAAAGGGAGAAGGCGCACGGTCAGGCTGTCCGGCTGGAAAAGTCGTGTTTCCCCGAAGGGTTCCCAACGCCACCTGCTGTTCCTTTCTCCTTGAGCCTGACAAGGACTGTCCCTTGTATTTCTAGCACCCAAAGTCTGTGATGCGTGCAAGAACAAAAATGAGGACGATAATGACATCATGGAAAACCTCTGCAAAAATGACTTTGGTAAGTGGCAGCAGAGCCCCTCGATTAAAACTTGAGGGATTAGGAGCAGGTAAAACTCCCAGTGGAGTCAGAGAGACATGCCTGAATAAAGGCAGGGCTTTGTCTCATCTGCAGATGGACTTGTCCATCCTGTTGCATCTGACCATTCTGGTCATGAAACACAGAATTGCATCTCTGAGAAAAAATCGGCTCTTTTATAGTCCTTTCCTGTGTGCTGTTTCAAAGTAGTACTCTTTTATGTGGACACTGCAACCAAGCCGAATAGAAAATAGTGAAAAAAGGAATCTTTCATCTGGACTATTGCCTGGGGAGAAGTACAGCAAAGCTTCACATAGACATATGAGAAAGAGCTGCATGGCATATAGTAAGAAAGAAAGACTTTCTCCACAGATTAAGAATGAAGCTCTATGTATTATCTGACAGAGAACGTAATGCACAGAAAATTGGGGATGTAAACTTAATGTGAAGATCTGGGGTTAGAAGAGGATGAGAAAGCCCATTCAACACAGGCAGCTGAAGGGTACATTATCTGCATATTAGCATTTCAAGAGAAAAGGGGAACGAGGAGGGGAATCATAGCAGGGCAGTATTTATATATATATAAAGATTTTATAATAACTAAATAATTTATATATATTTATATACCTGGAAACAGATCTGTACTAGAAATATCTGCAAGAATTCAAAAGCGTCTCTTAAAATGAACAATAACAACAACAAAACAAACAAACAAAAAAACCCCACAACCTGTGGAACTCTGATTGCAGGACATAACTGCTAAAACAACCAATAGCTTTGGCCTGGCAAACTGCACTCAGATAAATCCTCCTAAAGCTAAATGTGCCCCACAGATTCTTAAAGCGTCTTGTATCCCCCTCCTCATTTTTTTTTCACCAAATCAAATGCAGCTGTTGGACCAATTTGCCCTCTATGGGATCTATTCTTTCAAAGAAACAACAATGTATGTGAAATATCATTTCCTTGCAGGTTTGCCTAAAATCCTCTCCAGCCTAATAAATTAAGCTTAGAACTTTTCAGCTGCAGTAGAGATCAGGTTTCAGATTAGGTTTAGGTATTCACCTCCCCACCACCCCTTCATATTCTAGGGTTTCAGGAATACATCCCATCCCAGCAAAAACTGGAGTGCTGCTTAACATAGCAAAGCTGCCCTCCCTCTGTTTGCAAACAGGAGAAAAGCTGAAGAAAATATTAATGTAGGAAGGAAGGAAAAAGAGGGGGAGGGGGAAGAGGAGAAAAGAAACCCCAAAACCCTCAGTCCTAAGGTTGATTCAAACTGAAATGACTTGCATGCCCTTTCTGGCTTTAGAAATGGAGCCACCTGCTGCCTCCTCTGTCAGCCCTGACAGTTTAATTAGCAATAGAGCACCTCCCTCCCCAGGTCCTCTTTATGTGCACTAATGGGAAAAAAACTCTTAATCTCTCTCCCTCTCACCCCCCTCCCTCCTCCCCTTGCTCTATTAGCCTTGAAGATAAAAGTGAAGGAGATTGCCTACATCAATGGGGATACCAAGATCACCCCTGAAACAAAGAGCAAGACCATCTACAAGCTGAATGGGCTGACCGAAAGAGATCTGAGAAAGATCGTGCTCTGGCTGAAAGGTGGCCTCCAGTGTACCTGTGACGAGATGAACGACATCAACGTCCCCTACTTGGTGATGGGGCAAAAGCAAGCTGGGGAACTGGTGATCACCTCGCTGAAGCGGTGGCAGAAAGGGCAGCGGGCTTTCAAGCGGTTCTCCCGCAGCATCCGCAAACTGCAGTGTTAGTGGCTTTGGCTGTGTTGGCTTCCAGCGGCCTCCTCTGTCCCAAGCTCTCCAGACCTCCCCAGCCTTCTTTCTTCAGCCTCTCTGCGCCTTGAGATGCCCTGGCCAGGAGACACAGCAACCAATCTCCAAGATGGGGAGAGCCCTCCGTTTCTGTACATAGGTTAAATGTAATAAAAATATATATATCATGACTATTTTGGGGAAGTATTAAACTATCTCACTTAACAGTTGGGTTTTTTTTTTTTTGTTTGTTTGTTTGTTTGTTTGTTTGTTCTAAATGGTTGCAAATGTGACTCTTCCCTGAGGCTTTTCCTTCTTCGTTTTGGTATTGCTGGTTCATTTAATTGCTGCCTCTCTGTATACATGCGTGTTTGTTGTGCAAAAGTAGGAGACGGGAAGACAGATGTGTGCGCCTGGCCCGCCACAAGGGGTACGACTCTTTCACTGAGGTGAAATGGCTTGCCATCTATATTAAATTTATAAAGGTCATGTTACAACTCTTGCATGTGATACATAGGCACCAATAAGGGTATATTAGCCATTCTCAAGTTTTGTTTTCCACAAGACTGAGCCCTTTTCTTAGGAGAAAAAAAAACAAAAAAACAAAAAACAAAAAGGTTTTGGAACTGGTTTATCTGAATGCAACTTTTTTCTTCTTATTTTGCAAATTAAACATCTGCAGCCTAACTGTAACATACCTAGTGGTTAACCTGAGAGAGTTGTAAAATATTGCTTTAATTAGCCTTGTAAATACTCCAGATAAATGTTATATTCTTGTATATAAACTTTACATCATAGTTTTCCTATTGTCTTGACTTGTTCTTGGACAAATTCACTTTAATCTGTTTTGGGAAAAAGGTGTCCAACTGCGCCTTGTCATGGCAAAACAAGATTCACCCTTCTACCCCAAATGACCAACGGTCACCAACAGTGAAACTGCTGATGCTGGCTGCAATTAAGAAAACCATGCAGTACCTCATTTCCCCAAAGACCAACCCATGTAACATGAAGGTTGGGGTACACTTACCTCATTTTAATAGATTTCTGTTGAGCACTTCGAGATGAAAACTTCTCTGTGGTTTCTTTGACTGCCTACAGTTTCATCCCATCTCAGAAGACTCTGCTGATGTGGAATAGCAATGAAATCACTTGCTTAAAAATCATACCCATTTATCCATTTCTTACACTTGTCCAAGAGTAGACAAAAACCTGATTTGTTACCAACAGTTCAGAATAATTTAAATGGTAGAATAAAGTATGTTTTGTGTGCACTTTCAGTATTCCTATTTAGAAAATAAACCGTTTGCACTACCCTAATAGTGTAACTAGAGCAATGTCTTTCAGCATTTTTCCTGCAAATATTTTCTATGGAAAAGCATTTCCTGCTAGAGTTTTATTATACTTATCCTGGATGGGCCTCTGAGCATCTTCTAGAGAAAGATACCCATGGTGGGGAGCTAGAACTAGATGATCTTTAATGTCACTTCCAACCAAAGTGGACTATGTGGTTCTGTGAAAAATAATCTTACCTGCCACTGCTGCCACCTGCCACATATAAAGTTCCTTTCACCCTCATTAAGAGGATGACAAACCCAGTATTTACAAGGACAGTGCTTTATGTTAGCCATTCACTGAGAGAATGCAAATCCAACCCCAGATTTTTTTTAGAAGTAAATAATCATAATCATTTCATGTATTTGGTGTGATTTTTCACCTATGAGTATTGAAAGAAAAAATCGAAATTTAATTTGTTTCAGAAAAATTCTTATCTGCCATCTTCCCGAATCTTCATGCGTTTACTATATCCCATACAAACAATGGTAGGACGTTGAGCAAGTAAGACAAGATCAGTCCTCATAAGCATCCTCAGAAATATAGCAATAACAATAAAAAAAAAAAAAAAAAACAAACAAAAAAAACCCAAAGCACCTCAATTCCAAACTGGTTTTTCACATTTTGTGAAACAGTTTAAAGTCCAATACTTTGCTTTAAAATTTTTCTTCTGAATGGACATAGCTTCCCGGAACAGATTTGAGTCTTCTCACGCTTGGGAGTAATTACTTTCATATCAGTACTGTGTCCATCATCATCCAGATGTCACATAACTCTACCCATCTCCCTCAGCACATCACCTAACACCTGTCACTAAATGGGTCTTGGATATATTAGAGGGAACTAGCTCGCAGAAAAAGGGCCGGCGGGTGGAGGCAAGCCTGCAGAAAAATGGGATTGTGCTGCTTGGTGAAGGAAAGTGCTTTGAAGAGGCAGCAGTTGCAATGCAGGCTCTGGGGACCAAAACCAACAACAAGGACTGCTCCACACAGCCTGCCTAGCTGACACTAAGTCCTCTTCTAAGAGAGCAACCATAAAATTATCTTAATTGGGCTATCCTAGAAGGTAGCAGTAGTGATGCTGATGAAGACAGACAGGTCACAAGTTATTCACTCTGGGGTCATACCGAGGGCAAGACTACACAAGAGATCTTTACTTAAGTGGTGTGGATGTACGAAAAGAAACCATGACATCACTCTGTCTTAAAAAAAAAATAAAAAAATCTCCTTCCACCACAAAATAAACACTGTTACACCAGCAAAACCATGGAAGAGAACAAGAATAAACCAGATCTGCCAACATTTGAATCCGGTCGTGTAACTGGTGACCAGGATTAGCAGCATTCTGTCCTTACATATAAAGCCTTCTGCATGTGTCCGTGGATGGACTTACTGGGACCATCCAGCCTCAGAGTGAGCTGGTAGAGGTGGAATTACCTTTCACATAAACAGGGCTTGGGCAAACATGAAGAGTAATAGGAGTCACACTTCCTGAGTTGAGCTGTTCTAACAGCATTGTGGAAAAAGATGGGTACCATTCTCCACACTGAGGAAAGAGAACATCGGGGTTGATGTTATACAACCCATTTCCAAAGGTGTATAAGCCAGACATTGCGAACTCTTCAAACAAAAATCAGAATTTCAGAGTCACAGCCTGAGGAAACTTCATTTGGCAGATGCTGGTAAAGAAGTAAACACATACATTTTTCACATTTTTATCCTTAGTCTTATTCACTAAACAACTGAAAATCTTTGTGTCATGCAAAGAGTGAAACCAACATGTAAAAAGTGATCAGGACTTGCTACTCCTGATCAGTGTTTTGCATTTAGTGTGGAGTAAATTCATTACCTGATACAGCATGATTCAGTTATGGCAGAAATTTGTTTCCAACTGATGAAAAAACACAACTTGCTGTTGCATTTTTTAGACACTTTTTGTCTTCCTCTAATTAAAAAAAAAACACTGTTAAGCAGCCAACTGTGTAGCTCCATTGTATTTGCTTTCATAAAAACTATGAAAGCAGTCGACTACAATGGATTAGTTTAAGAGCAATAATCATACTTGACATTTATACAGAAGTTTCCATTTAAGTTTCTCAGACTGCCTTCAAAAAACAGGCACTAATGTCCCTGTTTTGTAGATCAGGAAAATGAGGCACAGTGAGGTAAAGTAACTCGCCCAGAAGCCACCCAGCAGGTTCCTCTGCAGTCATGAAAAGAAGCATGTCTTTCTACTCCAAGTTTTATGTCCTCATCACTAGACCACAGCAATCAGAACGGTGTATTGTTGTGGTTTCGCGATTTTTCGTTGTCACTATTCCACATCAGAACATCACGTGGACCGCTGGGAGTTAATGAGTTAATGTTTCGGTTCTGTTCACGGCCTTTTGTGGACTCTGTGAGTGTCCTGATGGAGGGGAGTGGGCGGCATCCCTGCAGGACCTGGCGGGCAGAGGCAGTGGGGTGAAGCCGCGGACGGGACCCGAGCGTCCGCCTCCCTCCGTCCGGCCCCTGGCCACTCGTCTCATCTTGCCGCGGAGCAAAGCGCGTGCCTTCCATCACACCATCGTGGTTTGTCTGGCATTTTGGATACTCTCGTGTCTCTCATTTCGTTTGATTTGGTTAAATTCAGTAAATTACCATTCCTCCTCAGATCGTTGCCATTGTGTTTTCTCCTGGTTAAAACTATCTGCCAGCTTTCTGCCCTTCCCCCTCTCCCAGAGCTCACTTTCATACCCCTTCCTTTTTTCTCCTTCCCGGGCCTGTGTCCCTCTGTCACAGACTTACATCCAAGGATAACCCCGTGATGTATATAATCAAGGCAGCACAATGATTATAATCCAAGGCTCCCCCCAACTTCTCATTTTCCCCAAGCGTGCAAGAAATATTAAAAAAAAAGTTTGTCCAAATTCAAATTTTAAATCTATCAGCACCATTCCTTGCAGTCTTTTCCTTTCTTCCTTATTTATCATCTCTATTCGTCTGTTACTTCTTAATCCTTTCCTTTCTTTCTTGCTTCTCATTCACTTCAGACATTCACAGAGAAGCTATTCAGCCTCTCTCTCATCCCCTCTTGTACAGACACTCTCACTTAGTATGTTTTATTAAAGGACTCATGCAGTATGACTGTGCATAAGTCACAACAATTCTAATAGCCAAGCTTTAAGAAATGAAAAGGCCTGTGTGAGAAATTCAGCAAGAGACATTTAAATTAATTAAATACATTAATGATTTTCTCTGAGGACTGGAGGGGGAGTTAAGTGCAACAAAGAGCACCACAGACACACACCAGTCATCCCAGGCACAGCCATTATTCTTATTATGCAACAGGAGAATAGAAAGACTTCTAGAGAGTATAGACAGCGTATAGAGCATACAGGTACAGCACTCCTTGGATTGGATTTTAGGAAAAACTTCTCAGAAAAAGTGGAGCAGACTGCTCAGGGAAGTGATGCAGTTACCATCAAGAACTGTGTGGATATGGCAGTGAGAGATGTAGAGCAATCACAGGCATGGGTTGATGGTTGGGCTGGATGCTCTTTCCAACCTTGACAATTCTATGATTCTGTGATGCCTTCCCTTGCATATCACCCACACATCTCAGTCCTACAATTCTAACTCCATGTTCCTCCACTGGGGTTAAGGAGCACCCATCTCAACCCTCTTCCTGACATTTTGCTACCTTCCACAGTCACCCAGCGTACTGGCCAAGAGTAGAGCTACCATGACTCTACCTCATCATCTCCTGGTGCCTGCTGTAGCATGAGAGATCTACAGGAAGGTGGCAGAACAGCCTTTTGTCTGCTGCCTCTGCTCTGCCCTCACCATCTACCAGTTTTGTGAGTCCTCATGACGTGGCCACTGCTGGTAACACCGAAGAAGGAGTGATGGCTTGATCACTTTCAGAACAGTAAGGGGTCTCCCTCAGGTTGGACAGCCAAAGCTTTTGTTTTTGGAGCCAGAAGCTCTTATTTCTAGGCTTCAGAGATATGTTCGTATGATTTATTTACACATTGCCTTCTTATCAACAGATGCAGAATCAGTACTGTCTGTCTGATGACACAACCGCAGGAATGGATCTTATTTGCCTCTAAACGAAGAGTGCAAGATATTCACACCACAGGAATGCAAGACCTCAAGCTGCCTTACAAACATTAATTAGCCCGTGCTACGTCCCTTTGGGGTAAGGTTCAATAGGGTAACATTTTCCAAATGCATCCAGCCCCTTCAGGGTGAGCTGCGAGCTCCTAAATCACCTGGATATCTTGGAAAATATGAGCCTTTATCTCTGAGCAGAGTTGCAGGCGACTGGTGGAGGTCAGCCAACAAGCCTATCTCCCAGCCAGGAGGAGCACCTCAGCAGTCAGTAAGCCAGCCCATTGTTCTCACAGCCATCAGAATAACCATCCAACACAGAAAGCTGCACAGCAATGCAGCTGGTCAAAAATAACCATCCAACACAGAAAACTGCACAGCAGCACAGCTGGTGGAGCTAACTTCAAAACCAGTTGCCGTAGGCACGGGAAAGCTGTCCAGAAAGACAAATCAACAAAGGTTAGGTGTTGTGCTCAATGTCTTACAGAACAGACATAACAAAGAATGTGTATGCCTACGATAAGGCGCTTTAGTGGCTGGAGGGTTCATACCACTGCACACACACTGAGCTATTAATCATTTCAATTTACTCTGAGGCACAAACCTGAATTAAGTTAGGCCACTTTACTAAGCAAAACAATAGTTTAGGTGTAATAGGTGAAGCAAAAGTGTTTAGAGAGGTATATTTTCAGAAACTAGGGCAAACCAAAAAATCAGAAAGACGTACTGTAATTTAAGAATTAGGGGTGAGGGGTATTAATTTGTTTTGAGAAAGGGAAGAAAACGATTTTGAAGAGAATCTTATACATTCTATGATCTATAACTCTGCAATATCCAGAGATATGAACAGTGCTCAGTGCTTCTTTTTTTTTTTTTCTTTTTTTTACTACTATGGGGGTTTTTG